AGCGCCCCTAAACATCCCTAAGTGTTTTGAATTAACTTTCCTGGCTACTAAGTCAAGATCTCATTTTCTTAGCAAGGTTGGAATAAATCACACCTTACTTTCTGTAAATCAAAATTTATAAAAGTAATAGCTCAAGATATGGTAAGTCCTATTTATCAATTTCCTCATTCTGTTTTATAATGACTTATGGAGCCAGGTAAGATCAAATCTGACCAAGTTCCAGAAAACCAAAGGGCCTCCTAATTAAATGCCCAAACCTGTTTCAGAATTACTTACTTAAAAAAAAAATATCCTAGACTCAGGGAGTAATGTACAGGTATGTTTAGGAAATAAGATACTTCTGATAAGCAAGGTCTTCATGTCCAAAAGAGGTACTGGCACCCAAACTTAATATCAAAAATAAAAAATAAAATCAAACCTTCTCTTCTGTGCCCAGACATATAATTAAAATAACCTCAGCTGGGTACTGTGGCTTGGCTCACACCTTTAATCCTAGCACACCGGGAGACCAAAGTAGGTGGACCGCTTGAGCTTAGGAGTTTGATAGTAGCCTGAGCAAATAGAAAAACAAACAAACAACAAAAAATCAACTAGGCACTGTGCTAGAAGGCTGAGGCAGGAAGACTGCTTGTACCCAGGAGTTTGAGGTTGTTGGGAGCTAGGGGGATGCCATGGCATTCTAGCCTGGGTGATAAGAGTGAGACTCTGTCTTAGGGAGAAAAAAAATCTTCTAAAATAGAGGAGGCACTGTATTGACTTATCTTAAAAGGCTTTTTTTTAAAAGGATGACTTGAGATTATAAAGTATTTTTCAAATATGCAAAGTTCTTCATAATGATTCAATGAAGCTTAATGATTTTTTTTAAAGTATGTAATTTTTTTTGTAATTTAAAAAGAAAAATATAGGTTTGGGTGTGGTAGCTTATGCCTGTAAAACTAGCGTTCTGGGAAGCCAAGGCAGGTGGATTGCTTGAGTTTGAGACCAGCCTGAACAAAAGTGAACCTGTCTCTAAAAGTAGCCAGGTGTTGTAGTGGGTCCCTATAGTCGCAGCTACTCCAGAGACTGAGGCAGGAGAATCACTTGAGCCCAAGAGTTGAAGGTTGCTGTGAGTTATGACACCACGGAACCTACCCAGTGAGACTGTCTCAAAAAATAAATAAATAAGTAAAAGGAAAAAGATACCCCATTCAAAGGCTTGAAGTGTATTTGATATGACCACCGTTTAGAGAGCACTGGAGTTATAGGAATGAGAAGTATGTATTAGTAAATAACCCCTCTCAAGAAGTTGTCAAACCATAGGGAGAAAAGAAAAGCCATAGGCAATATAATCAATGCATGTCAGAAATGCATTTTAATTTTTATTTGAAAACAACTTAAATTTTTAGACAAATGATTTTAGTATATAAATTTGATTTTGTTTTTATACAGAATATAAAGATCTCTCTCTTTAATCTTCCATGAGAAGGGTATCACAAGCCTGAAGGAAGATACCTTCTGCACCCAAGTGTGTTTATCGTATGTGTGCAGTATTGGAAACCAGTGGTGTAGTGCTCCTACACATAAATTAGGTCAAGTGACATCTCATACTAAAAGGGAGAAAGAGAAATATTCTATTTAATCAGATTCAAGAAGCAAACATGACACAAAAACTGTGCAAATAAGACCAAGTCAGTAACTTTAGTTAGAACACTGCAGATTACATTGGAATAACAAGTTTGCGAGGATATCATGTGCACCACATTAAAACAGCAAGAAAGAGCTATTTATATAGAAAGGCTGGAAGAAGAGGTTTTCACTAAAGCAAATTAACTTCTTGTCAACTGCCAAAACAAAACAGAGCATATGAGTGTTAGTATACTGAAGGCATGGTATACCAGTTTCTGTGCAGCATGCTAAAAGTTAGTTAAAACGTCTTCATTGGTGCAGATGCATCATTAATAGTCATGTTTTGCCCCTTCTTGCCAAATTTCAGGCATGTCTTATTTTAGATGGAGTATAGCTTTTATCTATTATTTCATCCTGTAAAAACATGTGGAGACAACGTTCATTCTGTGCCAGAGGATGACCAGCGACCCTGAGAACAAAAAAATATAAATTTATTCCAATATTTCATAAAAGTGGTAAGGGGGATCAAAACAGAAGGTTACGAAGCGGGCACAATTTATAATAATTAGTATTATAATGGATACTCGGTTAGCTAACGGTGTATTTTCTTTCCTTGGTCTCACAAGAAAATTTAGAAAACATTTAATCCCAGACTAACTTTGCACTATTTCTGGCACAGATATATAATTTGCTCCTTTACATCTTAGTTCGTGTAATTCATACAAAGGTTAATGAATTTCTTTTTTTTCTTTTCTTCTTTTCTTTGAGACAGAGCCTCAAGCTGTCGTCCTGGGTAAAGTGCCACAACAATCACAGCTCACAGCAACCTCCAATTCCTGGGCTCAAGTGATTCTCCTGCCTCTACCTTCCAAGTAGCTGGAACTACAGGCGTCCCCCACAACACCTGGCTATTTTTTAGTTGCAGCTGTCATTGTTGTTTGGCGGGCCCAGGCTGGATTCGAATCCGCCAGCTCCGGTGTATGTGGCTGGCGCTTGAGCCACAGGCACTGAGCCAGGTTAATGAATTTTAATGTTAAAAGTGAAGCACATCAATGGGTTCTAAAAAATCCATTTTAAAGAGAAGATGACATAGGATTGGACTTAGAAATACCCTCAAGTTCAATAAAAGCCCCCAAATTAAAAAACAGGCACAAATGTCCAGGTGGGCTTTAGTTTGGTTTTACTTGCTTTTAAAGATTTTTGCCATAGGCTAAGCACAAATACCAGACTCAGCAACCAGACTTTTATTTCAGAATTTAAAAACATCCAACATAGGAAAA